TTTGAGGAAAACTAAAACATTCATAACTCAGTCAAAACCCATACAAATTATGTCACACTATCAAGATGTGCTCTATTTTGCGGGCTTAATGTGATTTTTTGCTTAAGAATAGTAAAAGATACCCTTGAATCCATCTGAACTAATACTAATTGTATTGTATCGTAAAGTTATTGCAAGAGCAGTGATGAAAGATGTACTTGATAGAGTTATACTGGTTGGATCATTTGAACCATAAATATGCATCTTCGAATAACTTGTACAAGTTAATCCAGTTGTAAATATTCTTCATTTTTTACATCTGGTTGTTGGAGTGATACCATTTGTAAAATATCAAGAATATGTTCTTGCACATGCCACAATGAATATGATAAAGCGCGTCTCAATTATATAGATTAGAATACTTACGTGGCGCTGAATTCTGATTATTTAAAGAATTCGTATGGACTGCCCTTTTTAAGCAGTTCTCTTTCCTGATACAGCAGAAGAGATGTTTAATAATATAACAACCATGTCATTTGATTACTCCCTCCCTATATTTTATTTTCAGACATCAACGAGATGTAACGTTGTTCTCTGAGCATCACCTAGTCGTTTTTCAGAGAGAGAAAAAAAATATCATTTATAAGTGAACAATTGAGACAGAGAAACACAATTATGCGCACAGTTAGTTTGTATTATCGTCGAATGAATAACGGTCTGATTTATTTTCGTTTGATACTCTTTTTTCTGTTTAATCGATGTTATCGTCATCCTCCTCTTTTTGAATGTTATCATGCATTTCTTCTTCTGGTTCGTTCCTCAAACCTGACGGCGGACTCGATGAACGACGAAAATGTGTGTTCATTTGTTTGTATTGATACATTTTCAATGAATCAATATCGCTGAACACACGCGCATTTTTCGCCGTAAAACCGTACAAGCGCGGCTTCGGAGATGATGATGCTTCAGATTGTTTGTCATGCACCATTGAGCTTGATAACACAGCTGTGGTAGAGGTGTTAGCATCATCACTAGTGGAAAATGTCGATACTTTAGCGCCTATTTGGTCGTGTTGCTGTCGTCCTCGATCTGACTCCTTATTCATTTTTTTAAGACGTTTAGCTTGTTTGACATGAGAATGAAGTTCCTTCGAGGCTATGTTCCAACGTCTAAATGAACAAGACGACCGATATAAATAATTCGAAACTCCAATGATTTTGATTTTTGATTTTTTTACACAGAGAGATGCATCTTGATGTGCTAAGCCTAATGTTGTATAATTTGTGTGAAAAACTAAAGATCGAATAACTAGAAAATTTGTCCAGCAAAAGTTATTGTTTGAGGCTAAAAGGCCCGAAATCCTCTAGCTAAATGATTGGAAAACACACGTTTAAAGTCAGTTTTTCACCAAGATCAGGAAAAAAAGCTTTAGAACCTCTACCATTCGTCGTTTAAAATTTGTAGGCTCTCTAAAATTATCAGTTTTTCGACTGTTCGATCTTTAGTTTTTCGTACAAATTATACAGCATTAGATTTAGCATATCGAGATGCATCTCTCTATGTAAAAATATCAAAAATCAAAATCACTGGCGTTTCGAATTAGCGCAACCTTATATAGGTAAAAGTGAAGTGGAAAAAAGAATTCTGCGGTACAGATGGATCAGTATTTCTCTACTTTTTTCCTGATGGATTTCATTCTTTCAATCATTGGTCTTATGTGAAAAAGAAAAGAAAATCATTCCAAAATCATCAGTAGCCGACTAGTTTATTCAGTTCAGTTTAGAATACTCCAAAAACTATACATTCTTCTTCTTGTTTCTCTTTTTATCTATGTAGTGCTATAGTTCTTCTGTTTAGATTATTGGGCGTACATTGATACATATGAGTATAGAATAATGTCCTTAGTCTTTTGATTGTGTAGTTTTAAGTGTATTAAATTATAATATTTTCGAAAGCTCAGAATAAAAGTTGATTGAGAAATTAAAACAAGAAATGAATTCAGCTGTAGTTTATGATCAAATAGAAACGTTTATGATAAAAGTCCTGCCATTAGCAAAAGTCAATAGATTCAATTTCATCAGTTAATATTGTGCGGTAGGAAACGACAAGTGTTGACCATAGAAACAAAAGTTTTACTGCTATAGTTTATATGCCAATCTATCAACAGATCAGTCTAAAATATGAGAAAAAGATTTATTACATGTTTCTTCGGTGATATAGAGCAAAATTTAGAAGGAAGAAGAGCATAATTTTTTTGTTAGACAGATCAATAAACAGCTTACGAGGAAACATTCCCAGGTGCCCCGCTCCGATTTCATTCATTCATACATCATTCGATAGGGGGTCTCGAGTAGGTAAAAAGCCTAAAAGGATATCGACCGATGACTCTTTAAGACCCGGTTTTCTGGAAAACCAGTTTTTCAGAAACCCTAGCAGAATAACCAAAACCTTTGTTAATGAGGCACGATTGTAGCCCGCGAAGTTCTCATCAAAATGAGACATCTCCCAGCTCTACATGACCTTTCTTTGCAAAGTTATAGAATTTGCAAGAAAAGCTCTAAATGTTCATTGTCAGCTCAAAGCTGCAGAAATCAGAAGAAATTAATTTAGAGCTTTTCTTGCAAATTCTATAACTTTGCAAAGAAAGATCATATAGAGCTGGGAGATGTCTCATTTTGATGAAAACTTCGCGGGCTACAATCATGTCTCATTAACAAAGGTTTTGGTTATTCTGTTAGGGTTTCTGAAAAACTGGTTTTCCAGAAAACCGGGTCTTAAAGAGTCATCGGCCGATATCCTTTTAGGCTTTTTACCTACTCGAGACCCCCTATCGAATGATGCATGAACGAATCAAATCGGAGCGGGGTATCTGGGAATGTTTCCTCGTTAGTGAGAAACAGAAATCACTAGAGAATTTTCTTTTAAATGATTTTTCATCAAAATTACTCTCTTCTAGTCTTATATAGGCAAGAGAACATGTTTAAGGTTACGTCCTTTTGGCAGTAACGTTCATTTCAACAAAACAAAAATGTCTTGTACTTATTCTTTTAACGATCTCCCAGATTTACCTTTGCTACAAGTTCTTGGTTATTTAAAATCCGGAGAGATCATATTCGCTTTTTTTAATTTAAATCAACGTTTAAACTTATTATTATTAGAACGAAAATATTTACAAAAATTTCATCTATATAATGTTTCACTATCTATAATCCATTCAGTTTATTACAACATTTTACCTGAAATTACCGACGATTGTAAATATATACATGCTGATTCATTGTACATCGATGAATTCGATTTTCATGATCAGATTAAATTACATCTTGCTGCTATTAACACTAATAATAGAACACGGTATGTTTTTCAACATATAACAGTTTTATGTCTGTATAACATTCGGAATCCTGATGATTTGAAAGAGATTTTTCAACTGGTAAGTTGAAGATAATCATTTTATTAATATACTCGAATCACATACACTTAGGTCTAATATCAGAAAGACTTGGAATTTAATAATAAGGCAGGTCTCCGTATTTGTCGAGTTTTTTCTCCTAACTTCATTTCAGCACTATATTGCTGATTTATAAGTTACAGGGATATCGCTACGTTTGCCGAGTACTATAATGCGAAAAAGTTTTGTTTCTAGTGTTAAATTTCGCCAGAGAACTCATTATGAAAAATTTCTACATGTGCTAAAACATGAACAGCGCGGATGTCGACATTAGAAATCATTTTGAAAATTATACGCATTTAGCGAGTTGGCCATACGGATAGATATGAATACAGATCTATCTGTATCTATTTTCATATATATGCGTCTAGATAGATAAAAGATAGACCTGTATATATTAGTCAGACTGTTTCTTGTGGTTGCAGTTACAGCCGTCGTTGTGATTAGTAAACCAACAGAAACCTTATGTACTCGGGATAATAAAGTACTTGATTTGAACTAGATTGTTTTTCTGTAACCAACATAGGAATAGAAAATAGCGCCTTTTTCTTTTTAAATAACTTTAAAATAGAGTTAGAGTAACAAACATCTTCCATTATAGTATTGCATTCATAGATTTCGTTAAGATGTTGAAAGCGTGCATACCATCTGTATCTATAAACAGATCTTGTTATCGGGAGACGCATTTTGGCAAGTGCATCTTTGACATTAATAGTTAGAACTTCATTAGAAACAATTAAAATAAACGATTTTTGCGTGTAATCTTTTAGTGTCAGTTTTTGAATTTAATTGATTTAGAGGTAACGTTCTACGGATTCCATGAATGTTATCCCTGTATCCCAGTTTTCTTCCAATTGTTGTTATCTTCTTCTTATTCAACAGCAGCAACGTTAAAAAAATGCGATTTAAGAAATTCTACACTGTGTTTTCATCATTGTCCATTATCATTAACATCAAATACAAGCATTGAAACACTAACGATTACAATTTATCATTTAAATGATCTCTGTTTCATTTTTTATGTGTTTCCAAATTTAAAACAATTACATATTATTTTTGAAACCCCGATTCGTCGAATAGATGACCATGATAATATCGATGTAATTACGCCAGTTTTTCCTGCATTTTTAATCGAATTTAAAATAGAATTTTTTCTAAACAAATTCAACATATTCAAGCAAATAATTGATGATATAAGTGAATGTAGAGTATTAAAGAAATTATCTTTTCTTTATATGTGCGGTATCGGACTTGATGGAAACGCTTTAAGGAATTATTCAGCCCGTTCATAACAGAAAAACAAATTGATTTAAAATTTTGTATTTATTTATCTAACTCAATGATTGATCTATGGACTATGAAAGAATCAGTTCAATGATGGATGCGAAATGCAAGTAAGTAGAGAAAAGCTATTATAGTTAGCAAAATGACTATAAACATATATGGGTCGCTGCATGCATTGCATACATCCGAATACCATGAAAGGGTGCTCAATGATCATTTCAGATGCTTCTAAACTATGCTCATCTTATAAGAGAATATCTGAAGAGCTAAAAATTCCAAGTTTTAGTTTAATTGAATCTTTGATTCCAAAACTATAAGCAACTTTCTCGAAAAGTTGAAGGCAATATTTTGGACCCTTAAGAGAGGATTCCCAAGCATAGTGCTAATGGGACGTAACATGAAATTTTTTACCCCTCTTTTTTGTTATGGATTCTGAATCAATAGTAACTAAATGTGTTACTGTACTATATATAATGTGTTCTAGAACAGACGAGATGGCAAACGCGAGTGCATCTATCAGGTGTGGCATAAACAAATGAAAAACTGACATTCAATCAGTTTCAAGGCTCAGGAATCCTCTCTTAAGGGTCCAAAATTTCACCCTCGGAACGAATCGACCGATTGATGA